CAAAATTGTGTGGGGAAGTTTTGTGTTTATTTTTCATATGAATATTGAACACCTGTTCACTCAGAACACCTGTATGCCTTGTTTTATGGGCTGTTCTTAAAGGTTAAACTAAAGGTCCTATATATTCCTAGTGATGGAAAACAGCTTCCGAAGGAGAAGCTGAAATCTGTAATTCAGTGTTTTCAAAAATAATTAGCACTTTATGATTTCCATTGGAAACTGTAATAGTTTAGTAACTGGTGATTTTTGAGATTGAACACATTAGATGTCAGATTATGTAAGAAAACTTACATGGGAGTAGAAAGGAGTCAGGCTAGAATGTTTTTTATCTTGGTGTAGGACCTTCCACCTTCCATTGACCCAATTTGTTAGTTACCTGTATGGCACCTTGTATAGAAAAAAGAGAAGAAACTACAATGCTATTTTTAAGAATGAGCCATAATAATTAAAAGATAGGAAACCGCTAATAACAAGGTTATTTGGGGGGAATTTTTCATTTTCCTTGAAAATATTAGCTAAGAGATACCACATCTATCTAAAAAAGCATATTAGTGTCTTAAAGAAAGCATCCTCTGAAACATTCACCTTCCACAAAGAGATTCCCTCCCTTTTATAAAACAGAAGTATTGAGGACTTAGATATTTTGTTAAATAGTATTATAAAAGATCTGGATTAATTCCCTCAGATTCTCCATTTCTTGTTTCCATTAGGCTAAAATAATTTTTTTGCTGTAGTCCTCATCCTTGTTTATGAGTTATATTTTAGGTGCTTTGATGTATTATATCTTTGTAATGTATATGAATTTGGCCCTTTTGGAGTTATTACTATAAATAACCATTTTATTAAGCTTCTGTTTGTATATGGTGATCTAACTTTCTTAGTGTTTTACCATTGATATATTTCCTTCTTCCTGTAGCTTCAAAGGAACATTTTGGCATCTAATCCCAGAGTCACAAGATTCCACATTAATTGGGAAGATAACACAGAAAAACTGGAAGATGCAGAGAGCAGTAATCCAAATCTACAATCACTTCTTTCAACAGATGCATTACCTTCAGCATCAAAGGGATGGTCCACGTCAGAAAACTCACTAAATGTTATGTTAGAATCCCACATGGACTGCATGTGACTGCCTGCCATCCCTTTAGTACAAATTAAGCTATAAAAACACACGGAACTATTTCCCCGAAATTCCGTAAGTCATAGTCACTAAGACACAATGTGAAGAATTTGTTTTAAAAACATCCTGTAGAAAGTTTATAAGAAAACCAGTATTTGAGCAAATTGTGGAATATAAATACAACTATTTTTAAGTAATTTTTTCTCTAATGTGTTATTTTATTTGTTCTGAAACTAATCTGATTAAAACATATATATTATTTTCTTTTCCTCTATATGTAATTAAAGCACTTATAAAGAAATATGAATTAGATCAGACTGTAAAGATGTTTTAGCCTCTTGGACAATAATCTTTGGACTGCTAGTTTACTGGCCTTCAAAAGAACAAAGTATCCTTCAACTAAAGTGTTTCTTCCTGTAATAACATAGTTTGGTTTAAAGTAAGGGGTGAATTTCCATTATTTTTTGGCATATCCTTAAAGGAGGCATTTAAGGTCAACTATATGCTACTAAGAACTTTGGGATCTGATTTTCCAGGCCATCTTGAAGCCTATATGGCTACTGTTACAGTTCATGTAATGTTAGACAGCATTCGGTTTGGTTTCTAAGATAATAACAACTGTGGTTAAATCTTTATATAAAGTACTCTGGCAGTGGGTTTGGTTTTTGTAAGAGTTGAGGACATAAGAACACTTAGTTAACCACATACATCATTATCACCCAATGAAATCAACATGTAAAGAGCAGATACAAACTCCCTCAGTTTAAGAATAGGAAGCATCATGACTTAGATCTGTTCATTAGCTTTGTAATACTACTATAAAGTTAACTCTTTAAAATTGTTTTCATAGTTCATCTGTTGGCAGCATTTATATAAAAACAGTGGATCTGGGTAGGTATATAAGCTCTATCATAACAGATAAGTTACTATTTTGGAAATATATATATATTTTCACACATGTAGTGCTCTTCTCCATATCCCCTGACACTCATGAAGAATAAGATTAGGCATTTTTGTAGATGACATATTCTATGTAGCTTTTCCAGAAAAGTTTTTTAAAAGCAGTTAGGAAAGGAATTTACTAACTAAATGGGCCAAAAGGTTCTTTTTCTTTGATAAGAGCTAGGTCCTTCCTCAAAAAGTTCCCTCTGCTCCATTAAATTCAATGGAGAATATTCTCATGACTCTTGCTGCTAAAAGTAAGACATCAGCCATATGATGCAGAGTTATGCAGTGCCTTCATATCTAAAACTTTTATACTGTACTACTATACTTTTTAAAGTTTTCATTTTGAGGAAGGGAAAAGGGCATTTGTCTGAATATGGAATCGAAGTTGTACATATTTCCTGTCATTCTAAAAGTGAATTTGTGAAGCAAAATTTTGCTAAATGTTAAACTTTGAAATTTAATATACAAGATTATTAAAATACTGTCCACTAACTAGTTCACAGACTTTAAAAATAAAATACATCCTACTGTTAAAACTATAAAGAAAATTTTGATTTTTGTCTAATTGCAATTAAAAGAAAATGTTAAAATATTAAAAATAAAAGTAATACTTTTCAACCAAGAGCTCAGTGATTAATATAACAGGAACAATATATGTGCCTGTTAGAAATAAAGCATATAAAAACCAGATGGCCAATAAAGCATTTTATTGCTGAGTTTTTATTCTGATAAATTATATTGGTTTGTACTGACAACCAAGGGTTAGGTTTTCACTATAAATGGACAGCCAATTTTCACAAAAGTCGGAGATTTCAAAACTATTATTTCTTAGTAAAAATTGTTATGTCCTATAAAATAATTTTAAATATTAAAATTTAAATAGATTTAGAATTCAAACATTAGGAACAGAGGAACTAGTTATTTTCCCCATTTAACCTACCTGACAGACACTATCAAATTATGGCTAGAAGGCTTAGAACTGTTTTTCCCCTTTTTGATCATAGTAATTAGCTGTTTCCTGGGAATATAAATATGAACAAATGATATGCCACAGAAGAAGAGAGGAGTGAGAAAGCATTCAGAAAGTCTGAGGAGCACGCGTGCATTTGTTCATTTATAGCCTTTTATAATCTTAGGCTTCCATGTGGTCATACCTTTTGGTTTTAAGAATTGGGGTTTCTAATTTTACCAAAAAGTAAGGCAGCAGTTTTCAAAACTTCACTATAACCCATGGTAAAATTTTTTAAAAATTATGACCCCATAACACAAGTATGTATGTATATTAATAGTTTTCATGAAAATGGCCCCATTATAGTGCACCTTTACTATGTGCAATAATTCTGGTATCTTAATTGATTTCATATTGAAAGTGCTGGTTTTGACTCACTGACATTTATGACTTTCTAATGAGTTGTGATTTACAGTTTGAAGAAAGGCTAATCTGGCTCTTTTGGTAGATGTAAGTAGCAATAACTTTTCTATAGTTCTAAAATAATTTATATTCCCTCTACCCATCTTTTTTTCTGTCATATTTGGATTATGATCTTGGCATTTAAAAAAGGGAAAAGTGCTAATACAGTGAATCAGTAGCCATTCACTCCAAAACTGTCCAAATACTCTGGAATTACTAGTAGCTCACAAGATAGCTTATAGACTCATTTCTTGGTACTCCGTGTAGTTAACTTAGAAAATATTCCATATCACTACTTGTGGGTCACCTTTATTGTTTTTTGCTATCATTTTACACAGCTCTAGAACACCGGGACATAAGAATTTTAAAAGGCACATGAAATGTTGTTTATGTTCTTGCCTACTTCCCTTCCAATTTCTTGAGGCTTATCTGTGCCTCTCAAGTCAAATCCTTTCCTGTCAATTCTTAATGTACTGATCAGTTATATTCCAAAACCCGAGAGCACCTTAGAACTGAGCTGTCATTAGGGAGGACCATTAATGGAGTATTTGCTGCTTTATGATAAATTTAAAATACAAGCTTCTCAAATTGAGCATAGGCCATGGATGTTAGGCTTCCCTGACAAGCACTAAATAACATCTATAAAATGTGTGAAATCAAAAGCCTGTTACAGAATAACAGGAGAACTATTTCCCCAGTGATAGTGATGTAAAAATACAACATAGCATCAAAACATGTCTTTTAAAATAATTTTTTCCTAAAGTCACTTTATAATCAAATCTTGACATTCTATCAGCAAAGGCTTTTAAGGGTACTTGTTGAAGAATCATTACAATACATGACTAAAGCTCCTCACTGCAATGATGAAAATATGTTTCCCACATACTAAGACATTTTCTATCTAAGAATTTTCCATAGGAGCTACCGTTATCTGTGAGACCTATGAGCACGGAAATGCCTTAAGCTTGACATCATCTATCTAATTTATGTAGAGATATTTTTTCCCCTCCCACTTAATTTATTTCAACATTCTGTTTTCTGGGTCTTCAAAAAATGCCAATACATACTTTTTCCTGCATAAGTATGTATGAAGGTAATCACTAGAGAATGAGAAAACTGAACAGGGTCATTCAAAACTAAGATATAAAAAGATGTATGGAATAAGTTTTTGGAAAAAAAGTGATGGTGGAACTTTTGAAATATTTTCTTAGAGCTACAAAAGACATGCTACATATTTCCTTCAATTTTTGGCAGTAACTCTCAAAACTTAGCTTGAAATTTATGCCATTGTAGTACTTTTCCATCGTCCCAATACGCCAAGGTTTTGCGTTTGATCTCCAGTCAGGGCATATACATGAGTAACCAATAAATGCATAAATAAGTACAACTACAAATTGATGGTTCTCTCTCTCTTTCTCCCTTCCTCTGTCTCTTTACAATCAGTAAATTAAAAAAGAAAACCAAACACATTGTGTTAGCTTCTGTAGTGACATTGAATAAAATTGTCATGTAAAAAAATACCTGCACTAGTAGATCCAATTCCTGTGGTGAGCACAGATCTCGGTGTAATCTTTGCTGCATATTTGAGGAATTGAGATTTCCCTGTGCCAGGATCCCCAACCAATAAAAGATGAGATTCACCTAGGAAGAAGTAAATAATATAATTTTAAATTTCTATGAAAAGTCCCATGAACGAGTGTAATTAATCAAAAAGACAGTGGTCCACCTGTAATGTCAACACAATTTGTATTTTATATAGTGCTTTTGCTACATACTTAAGGCCACTTGAGGAAAGATTTAACTAGAATATCTTTAGAAAATTTAACTGTCATAAATAACAACCTTAAGTGATTTTTTAATGCAACATTTAAAAATAATTATTTTAATAGATTTTGTGCCATTTCTAGATGTTCAGGCCGTTGTTTAACATTTTTTAAAAATTTATAAATTTTCTGATTTTTTTAATTTAAGTACTTTTTTAAAACACAAGACCTCATAAGTGCTTTATAACTATCACATCATTTATGACCAACAGTTAAGTGAAAACCTTTTCATTTTATGAAAATTTTAGTTTAATGAAATACCTATCTTAAAGTACTTCTATTTTTCAAATGTAACACGAATGAACATGATTATACAATGGCTTGTATAAATCAAATTTCTTTAGTAATATTTGAGTATTTTCTAAATGTATTAATAGGAAATGTCTAATTAGGTGCAGCATTAGGCAGAGTGCCTCGCAAACAGTAGGTGATCAAAACATACCATACACATAAACCTAATGATACTATTCTATACTGTACTGCATGGTTTTAGAGTACCTAGTAACAGTATGATTGACAAGAATGTCCTTGTATTTTTTTGGTTTAGTCTTTGGTTATTATGGCTCTCATATGGCCAATATGGAGATCATAATAAACCTTTATGCCAGATTCAGGTCATTTAAGGGCGTTAGCTGCATAAGAGCGTTTTGCCATTTGGACATAATACTTAGAGTAATCTTTGCTTCAGTGCATGACCTACAGCAGCACCACATGGCAGATGGCATATTTGCAACCCACCAGCAGAAGGGACTCAGCAGGCAGGTGACTGAGAGCAGCAGTCTGAGAGAAACGCACTGAGAGTCACACATGGAGACACTGACTTGGAGCCATTAAAAAGCACTATTTCTAATCTTTTCCTCTTGAAGAGAGATTGAGGATCCAATGAAAAACATAGTAATAGAAATGTAAAGATTTTATTTTGTGGCATCCTGAGAGGTTAGAACAAAACTATATATACTCACTGAAAAACTTAGGATTTCTTTGTCTTTGGAATCCTAGAAAGTAGCTCCTGATATATAGATGCTGGGCTAAGTATTATAAGACAACCAGACAACTGTCAGCTTTAAAAGCTTACATTTGGAAAACAAAGCTCAACAAGCAATTTTTATTTAGTGAAGAAAAATTCTAGCTTTTCTCCTTATACGTGTTCATGTTTCTCAGACATTTTAAACAGGCACTAACCTCTGACTCGTGTTCCTGTAGCGTCAGTCCTTTGAATCCCACCAGCCAGTACCATGGCCACAGCAAGCTTTACCAGGTACAACCCAAAAACTTGAGGGCATAAACTGGCCAATATTTCATTCCTTCCTACGAAAGGCAGAAAGATGAGAAGTTATCAACAGTTTTCAAGAAATCATGACTGAAAATTTCCTTCCTACCCTACCTTCCCGTAACACTCCACCGTCTAAAATGATCAAAAGGACCTTTTCCAAATGACTAAAAGGAGTGAATAACTTAGTTCTCCTTATTAATGCCATGAGATGAAAAGTCTGCTTTATTCCTGGTACTACCTGCTTAAGTTCCTATAAATCTATCACACTTTAGAGGAGACAGAAAAGAGCCTCCTTTTTCTCCTTCATCATGCTAACACTATCCCTTAAAAAATAATACTGGCTGCATTTTCTATGCAGTAATTTCAGTAAAATTACTCCATCGTATAAGTAAAAAGAAAATGTTTGATCTTCGAACAGTGCGTTGGATTGTGGGAGCCAGTAACCTTTAAATACAGATACTTGGAGCTTCTCCAGAGGTGTAAGAGAAATGTAAAATCAGCCCTGGCTGGTGTGGCTCAGTGGACTGAGTGCCGGCCTGTGAATCAAAGGGTCGGCTGGTTCTATTCCCAGTCTAGGGCATATGTTTGGGTTGCAGGCCAGGTCCCCCTGGTAGGGGACATGTTGGAGGCAACGGCACACTGATGTTTCTCTTCCTCTCTCCCTCCTTTCCCCTCTCTAAAAATAAATAAAATCTTTTTTTTTTAAAAACACAGTAAAATCAATCCATCCTTGTGAGACAGTTTAGCACATGTTCTGAGCAGTTTTGTAAATTCCATTTTATTAAGAATAAGTTACTAGGGTATTGGGATATTAAAATGATTACAAACTTCAACTCTAAGCAATCCAAGCTGTAGGTATTGGATTATTCTTCGGATCATGTGCTTTAAATAGGAAAATATCAATGTTTCAGTCTGAGACTGCCTATCCCAACCAAGAATAAAGTCGGTGTTTTCTCTGGTTACCAGCCTAATCAAACAACAGAAGAACTTACGAGATTCTAACAGGCCTTTTCCCAGCCTGTCTTAACTTATACAGAATTCACTAGTGTGATGGTACTGTGTCTGCGTTCATGTTACCAGAAGTTAATGTGACCATGCTGGTAACTAATTTGCATTATTTCAGGACTTTCATACTCATGTCAGTTTGTACTCATGTTTAGCAACAGCTGTTTGAGGAGGAAAATAATCGTATAAGTACTCCGTTAGCTGATGATTCCAGTTCTAGAAGCTTTCCTGCCAAAGAAACTATCAAAGAAAGGGAAAGGGCCTTCCTCCAGAGTTTATGGCCCAATACACAAAGGCTGCCTTTTGTTATGAATCAAAATTGACTCAGTGGCCATTAGCTATGGTGATATGACCTGGACTGGCAGAAGTGATGAAAAAAGGCAACATTTCATTAAAAAGGGGACCAAAAAGAATTAGTAAATCCTGGAAGGAAGTTCATTAACTCATTAACTCCTGTGGTAGAAAAGCCCAAAGGAGAAAAGACGAAGTCCTGGGATCTAAGAAGATGAGAAGACCTGGTAGCAGGTCGGTAAATTCTGACCATAACCTGGAGGTTATGCAGACAAGTAAAGAAGGAATAGCCCCCAGAAGCAAGTGGCTATTAGAAGACATCCAGGCCAAAAGTAAGCCAAGGAGCCAGTTTTGTTGAGTAAAGACGGATTCAGCGTCTCTTGTGTCAGACACAAGACCTGGATTCCAATCCCAGTGATATTCCTTATTAGCTGCCTGACCTTGATCAAGTTTCTTAACCTCTCTGCCTCCATTTCCTTATCTGTAAAATGAAGATAATGGTATCACATAGAATTATTGAGGATCAAAGGAATTAATAAGTGTACAGCTCAAAGAACAAACAACACCTGACACATAGCAGGAGCTACTTAACTGTTAACTATTATATTACCCATATTACTTGTGCTTACTTCTGAACTTAAGATTTCCTTACCCTATAGTCAACACGAAGGATATAGTATGAAGGCAGGTTTGAGGTACCAGAGAAATGCAAAGAGGAAGGACCATTCCCCTAATTTGTTGTCTAAAGTTGAAAAACTTGATTCCTTGGACTGTGACAATAGAAGCTCCCATGGCTATATCATGTAAGAAAATGTGTTAGAATGGATACTAGCCCCTATCCTGCCGCACCTCCCAAATTTCTGGTCCTAGACCACGTGAACTGTGTGGCTATGGCCCTCAGCTATCCTGAAGAAGAGAACTTCTTAGATCTAAGATAACTGAGTCTCTCCAGAGCTTGCTGACGGCCCAACCGACACCAACCCTTATGTTTGGGTTTCTATTCAGTATCTAAGCACCAGGGTCATGGGATCCCTGAGGTCACTGTAGGTCAGAATAAAGCCTTTAGGCTCCTCCTAGTCAATGCCCACAGTATCAGGTCTTAATGAAGCAGGTCAGTCTCCCGGAGCTGAGCAGTCGAGTAATCCCCTGGCTTTACACTAGCAAAATGAAGATACCCTGTCAGATACAGCTCCTCACCTTCATCCATTCTACCCATCTCTCTCTCTCTCTCTCTCACACACACACACACACACACACACACACTTTATTCTTTTCAACTTAGGCACTTTATTTACACATATGTATTATATCCCTACAAAAAGAATCTCAGGATTTTCCCTCCTGTGTGGGAAATTTCCCTCATTTTATTTCTTCATGGCCCATGACATCCGCTGAGGTTGCCAGCACAGTGAAACCACACCGACAGGACGGAAGCAGGTTGTTCTGTCATTCTTCTAGATCTCTGAGTTGCACATCAAATCTGCGGCTGATGACCCCACACCTGCTTTTACCCACCAGTGAGTTTCACAACCATTTTTCCAGCTCTGTGATCATCAATAAACCCAAATTGGCCACTGTGACCATGCTTCATCATCACAGTTAAAAACTGGACAATGCTGGAGTACAGCCTCATAAGAACTTGGCACTTGCCTGTTTTTGGCATTGTTGATGCTCTTGAGAGCATCATGCAGACATTTGTGTGCACCATTATGATGGAACAGAAAGATGGTGGAAAGAACTTAGTGGAAAGAGCTGTTGTGGCACAAAAATTTTTGCTGTGAAGACAAAGCTTATTTTTTGCATCTCTCCATCTCTTATCATCTCTTTTTAAATTATTTCCTATTTTTAAATCCAGCTAAAATAGTGTGAAGGTGTCCATATAATTTAAAGGATATCTGAAAAGAAAGAATGGTTTTAACTTTAATAGGATGAGCTGTCACAATAGGATGAGTTTTGCCTATTTAAGGAGGAACTGCATGTTTAATTGGTAAAGAAGGTAGAAAATTCTGAAACTATTTTGGCAGTATAAGATGTTAAAATATTTAGAAGCAAAAGAAAAATCTCTTGGAATTTGGCCTTAATTTTCCAGATCTCTAGGCAGAAAGGGCTAAGCCAGAAAAGGGCTTCGGGGAGACTGTGGCTAGAGGCACTGCCTGGTGCTACTATCCCATGAACTTAGTCACAGAATTATGGAGAATGTAAAGCTGCCCCTCAACCACAGACAACATGTTTCACTACTGAATGAAAAGCTATTAATAATTATAAGCTTATGCCCTTAATCACAAACCTGCAAAGGGATCGCTCTTGTAATGTTCCCAAAAATCTTCAAATTCCTTTCGGACCTCTTCATCCAGGATGATCCCTGCAGACTGCTCATTATTTACTTGGATATAATTGGCTTTCAGGACTATCTCCACTTCACAGCGCACATCTCGCTGAAAGGGCTTCCACCGTTGCATTACAACCCCATAAACAGTGAGGTCATCCCCTGGAAAAAAGCACCAAGTGAGTCCAGCAATAGCATCCTGCATGCCAGGCACAGGCTCGCATGACGAAGGACCAGAACTAAGACATAAACCACCTCCTGACTAGGGTGTAGAGTGTTGTACACTCATCTGACACTCATTCAGAAAACAATTCTGGTGCAAAAAAACACCAGATTCCTAATTTTTTTTTAAAAACAGGTACTTGTATCTGTATAGCTAAAAGCTTAAGTCAGTATTTTATTTTTCTTAATCTGTCGCATTATAATTACACCAAATTATTACCCTTCATTGGGAAATAGTTTACTGGATGATTTGTCATTATTATATTGGATGAAATTTTCATCCTCTCAAAACCTCTAGCCATATATTTCTCATTTAAAGAGATGAGAATGGCAGCCAGAAGGTTAAACTATAATCGGTTTGCTGTCCAGAAAGAATATTGTGATGACTGATACTAGTTTTAGTTTTTATATATAATTTTTACTTAACACATTTGCTAACAATTAATTCACTGCCTTTTCATAATGAACAAAAATAAAATATGAATGAACCACAAAATAAATGAATGAATGAATACCTGTTCTACATTAAAGCAACTTTAAATAGACTATGAGAGCCCAGGACACAACCCTGCATATTCCTTCATGGTTGGTTCCCTGCTGGACAAAATACTAAACATTTACAAATTTTCCTAGGAGGCCTTGGGTAGTTTACAGGCACCTCTTCCTAACACTGACATATGTGCTTATTATTATGTATAATTCAATGCATCAATAACAAGTCTTTATAAATGCTAGGCATTTAATATTTTGGTACTGGAAAAAAAGCTTCCCCACCAAAAGATAATCCTAATCCCAAAAGATTTCAATCTTATCGAACACAGGATGTTGGACATATCCCAAACCCAATCCTGGTATTTATGTCTTCCACAACAATATTGTCTCTGAACTTTATTTCCAAGACTGTATAAAATATATATTTGCTGATACAAAATGCTTATACCCTCTAAATTTCAACGTGCGATGTATAATCCAAAAAGCTTTTGATTTTCTGAAGTGTTCCACAAAATGCTAAATGCATGGAACTGATGGTAGCAATTCACAGAATAAAAAGCCTATTTCTAGCCAAACACAACTTGATAGTAACAAATAAATTAAACAGGTGTTTTACATATTTTCAAGATCCTTCCTAAGCTACTGCCTGGATCATTTTCAAACCCAATCAAGAATAGTGGCCATTTACTATAGTGTCTGCCCAAATTTTTTTAGATAAAAATTACCAGGGCAGCCCTGGCCAAGTAGCTTAGTTGGAACGTTCTCCCGATGCACCAAGTTTGTGAGTTCAATCCCCAGTCAGGACACATAGGAAGCAAGCAATGAGTATATAAATACATGGAACAACAAATCTCTCTCTCTCAAATCAATAAATAAAAAAATTTTGGAAAAAAAAGAGAAAATGACTGGGGCAACTTTATATGAGCACTTGGAACAGTCCTCTACTATGGTGACTTTAATGGGTTATATTTAGGTTCTTTCTAAAATGAGGAACTAGACTTTTGGATGCAGCACATACTGGTAAAAATCTGACTTCAACAAGCAGTGGGAGAATGTGGAAATTGTAGAGTACTGAAGAATGGCCAAGACCACTAACTCATCAGTTCTGGATTCAGATCCCAGCTCCACCACTCACTTGGCTATGTGACCTTGGGCAAGTTACCTAACTTTGCTGAGCCTATGTCTTAACCTACAAAATGGGGATAACTATATTTGTATCACAGGACTATAGTGAGAATTAAGTCAAATAATGTTTGTAAATTATGTAATACAGTATCTAGAAATATTAGTGCTCAATAAATAGTAGCTGTTATTACACTAAATCTACCTTACACTTGTAGTCAATTAACATCTTTAAAAAGCTTTTAATATATACATGTTTTCGATGGCAGATTCATATGATCATCAGAACAATTATGAGGTATATATGATAGCCCAAAGCAATAAGATACTCATTTTAGTTTTCTATAGTAAAAATTATAAACAATGTTATTTTTAGAAAACTACATTTCTTACTGCCATACAATCTAGTCTCTCTGAGCCGCTCTTGTCTTCTGGAGCACATTGCCCACGGCAGCCATCCCCACTCAGACCCATCTCTGACCTGCTGCTGTGACAGTTAGCAGCACACAACCTCCAACTTTATTACTCTGCATGTCAGTCTGGGGTTCCTAACCAGACTGTAAATTCCATAAGGACAAAGATTTATTGTCTTTTGATTCTCACAGAAGTTTGTAGATATGAATGAAAAAAATGTTGACAGACTGCTTCCATACATTCTTATTAGTGACATTTGAAAGAAAAATACCGTAAGTTTTTTCAGTGCAGAAAGAGTTCAGTTAAATGAATTGCATGAAAACACCTTATTTTCTATCAAACAATATTTTCCTTTTTTTCCAATACAAAAGTTTATTTAACAAAAGTTCAATGTGAAAATGCACAAGATGCAATTTTTATATTGCAGTGAAACAGATGTGGAGCGGATACATGGAAGCAGTTGACTTCTCTGGTGAACACAGCCATTCTTTATACTCTTTCTGAGGCTTCTAACATGATGATACTATTTCCTCATATTACCACCATTCAAGTATTCTTCTGTCGCCCACTACTTGCCATCTCTGCACATGCAACTATCACAAGATTCATAAAGGGGTCAAATCCCCACAATATTCCTTGGACATGTCTGCCACCATTTAATGTAAATGATAACTTCTTGTCCATAAATTTGTTTAGCTTGGGAGGGTGAGCTTTGCTATCAAACAATATTTTCATATTCAGGCTAAGCTCATACAAGAACTGCTTTGCTGATCCACATATTATAGATGTGAGTTAAAACCTAGAGTCTAATATGAACAAGGTATTTTGACACAGGTTGTCCATTTAGTAGGAACCCATGATCAAAGCTGTCATTTCCTTAGTGTACTGTTTGGATAAGTATAATCTGTTAATGTATTTGACACAAATTTCAAACTATGAGTTGGTGATTCTTGGTTCAATGTGGTGAGTCTTTTGATAAAAAATTATTTTAACTCTAGATACTGAACTTTTATTTCCATAGTGTTGCCTCATCGTTTTAATGTTAGCTCAGTAAATACTTCATAAATGAGGCATCTGGAGAAGTCTACGGTTAAGAAAAGGGAAATGATGGAACTTGGTGAAATGAAGCATTCTGATCCGTCCAGTAGGGGAGAACTGGGATGTGGAATAAGAGCTAAGATGTAGCTATTACTGCCTAGCATACTGTACTGTTTGTTTTTTATAGAGATGAAGGGTGTTTTAGAGAAATGGGAAATATTTAAAGCTGGGAATACTGAGGTAAATTAAGAGGCAACTGCTGATATTCAGCTAAGGTTTAGTAACCATTTCCATTTTTTGACCCACCTTCAATTTAACTTAAATGTTAAAAAAAGAAGTGGAGCCCTGACTAGTGTGGCTTAGTTGGTTGGGCCTGGCCCACTAAGTGAAAGGTCGTGGTTTGATTCTGGGTCAGAGCACATGCCTAAGTTGTGGGCTCGGTCCCCGTTGGGTCACATACACAAAAGGCAATTAATCAATAATTCTCTCTCACATCGATGTTTCTTTCTGTTACTCTCCCTCCCTTCCCCTCTCTCTAAAAAAATAAAACAAATAAAATCTTTAAAAAAAGGAAGCGGATATCGTCAGGCAGTTTAAAACTGATTTTTTTGAGAGACAAGGGACTGAGAGCTGGAGGAGGGTGGAAGGAGAGAGAGGGAAACATCTATTTGTTGTTCCACTTATTTATGTATTCATTGGTTGATTCTTGTATGTGCCCTGACCAGAGATCAAACCAGCGACCTTGGCATATGAGGATGATGCTCTAATCAACTAAGCTACATGGCCAAGGCTCATTAGGTAGTTTTTAAGTTTATTTGGAATTTGAGTAAGAAAGAGAAAGGATAAGTTCTCATATCCTCCTCATAGACAAAGGTCCAGTTGGACAAGGCCTGGGCATGTGTGTGGGGAATAGAAGTCGGTGGCTTTAAGGGAACAGGTTCCCATCCTGCTTCTCTTGGACTGGAAACAGCAGTCTTAGAGAAGCTTATGAAAGATTTATAGCTCTGAGGACAACTTTGCTTGGGATTGAAAGTCTAAAAATTGAAAAGACTACCAAGCTCTATACTAGAGTCTTCTGTTAGTATGGAAAGATGACAGTGAAGGAGAAGAATGGATGAGGATACCTGTGCTGACATATGGAAAACATCAAGTACTTTGGTTATAAAAAGTTTTTGATTAAAACCTTAAGAGAACCCTAGCCAATGTGGCTCTGTTGGTTGGAGTATCATCCCATAAACTGAAAGGTTTAACCCCCAGTGAGGGCATACACCTAGGTTGCAGGTTCAATCCCCCTGCTTGGGGCATGTATAGGAGGCAACCGATGGACGGGTCTCTCTCTCATCTCTGTTTCTCTCCCCCCACCCCACTTCTCCTCTCTCTAAAAGCAATGGAAAATTGTCCTTATGTGAGGATGAATGGATAAATAAATAAATAAATAAATAAATAAAAGTTTAAAATGATCACTGTGAGGTCTGCTCCTGTGATTTTAACCTTTCGCTGACCAGTGCCCTATAAACTTTATAGCCCTACCCTCCACCAACAGCTGAAGTCCCCTTTATTCCCTCATTCTCTTTTTGCATTTTAAACACAAGCTATCACCAATGCATCCATTAAGGAAAAAAAACCACCAAATTTTACTAACAATATCTTGTAAGATACTGCAGAAGAGAGAATAGTATTAAACCCCTTGGGTGACACTGGTAATTTACAAAACCTAATATTGTAGTTTTTAAAATAAAACCTTTCCCTACCATTTTCTTTATAAAAACAATACCTTAAAAATTCAGTGTAGAACACTTCCATCCTACAGGTGTGGACTAAGATTAATCCTTGTCCTTCTACAAATACTTTTTAAGTTTGATTCTTCCCAAGCTCCCAATGAGGAGAGTAAGAGGGGACAAGGTCACTTAAGAGGGGCAAAAGAGAGCTTGGGACATGTTTGTTTGGCCTAAAGGTCAAAGTATAACCAACAATGACATCAGAACAACCAAGCTTCTGGAGCACCAAGGCTCCCAAAGTCTTTAATTTGCCTGGAACATTGTAGATCATCCGATCATGAGGCCTAAATAGTTAACAAGATGCTGTACATCCTCTGCTTAAACTCACCATCATCCAAGGCCCATGCTGGACACCCCTGATTAGTGGATACTGAACAAAAATCTGCCTTCCTGCACCTCCAGCCCACTGAAACCCAACAGCATCTTCTGTAATTCCAATTCCATTTCCATATGTCCATCTTCCAACAAATGCAAGTTGAAGATCATGTCCTTCCTGAGGCTTCTCCATGCTAAACACCCACAGCTCTTTCAGTATGATTAAAATTCCCTCCCAATTCAGGCAACTGGCTAGTGGAACTACTGAGGACCCTCAGAGGACAGAAGTCAAAATCTCTGTGACTCCTATTGTAGTATCACCAGCGCAGAACACAGAGAAACAATCCTTTCCTTTAGACACCATTAAGGCTGCAGTAGCATTTGACAGTCACATTCTCTGATGTATCTTATATAACTGCCCACTAAAACCTACATTTTTAAAAGTTGCTGTTCTTAAGCTATGGTACACTGAAGGGAGTCGTGGGCTCGAAGTTGGTAGATCTGGGTTCACGTTCCAGTTCTGTCACTTAACTTTTCACATGCCCTTAGGCAAGTCAGGTTCTTCGTCTATAAAACAAACAGCTGGACTAGAAAGCTAAGCTCCAACCCAGGTTCTTTGCTGCTATCACATGCCACCTCCATGTCAATCTCTGCTCTCAAGGTAAGCAATCAGGTCTCCACACTCACTCTTGGGAAAATAAAAAGCGGCTTTTCCATATCAGTATATTAAGACCTCTTGTATAAGTTAACAAAAGTTAATTCTTACCAGATTTGCAAGTGTCTACTAAGTCATCTTCTAGGATAACCTTCATAGATCGTGGAATACTTCCAACAGACAGCCGTTGAACCTAGCAAAGAAAACAAAGTAGATACTAAATATGCTTAAATACATGCTAAGTATTCTGAACCTCGCGATTCTTGAAATTACCATTTTTATTTCTCTGGTATTGTCATACAATGTAATTATGATGGGGATTTATGGAATATTCTTGTGAACTGTGCATACTATCATTTTAGGAATTCATTAAATCTGGAGTAAAATAAAAACACCAATATCTGGAAAAACATCTCCAAATATAATTTATCTTATGGACGGTCAAAATAAACACATGCTCCAATTACTAAACATCATAACAAAGTTGCTTATCTAGAATAAAGCAGCAGCTCTTTCCCGATTTCTAGTCATAAGACCTGGGACAAATCACTCAGTTCCTTTAATTATTCCTTAGAAACAGAACCCTGGTTTTATTCTATGTAAACAAGTGCCCAGCAAAAAGACTATATCTCCACACTTCCTTGTATCTAGGTGCGGTCATATGACTAAGTTCTGGCCAATAAAGTGTAAGTATATATGTTGTAGGATACTACTTAAATGCAAACGTTGGTGAGATGGCAGGTGCTTCTCCCTATCTCTTTGTTTCTGTTCTCTGATTAGGATACAGCTGTGATGGAGTTGTAGCCACCATTTTGAACTATTGACAACCAGGTGAATGGTGTAGAAGAAGAGAAGGAGTCAGTCCTTGACACTGAATAAACCTTTGTGTTTCAGTGGCAAGTAAAAAAAAATCAGGTCCACTTTCATGTATTAAAGAGTTTGGCATAGTAAATAAAAATTTGGCCTAAATCTCAAATCCCACCTGCTCCAATGTTTAGTAACCAGTGGAACCATTTATTTTTCTCCTATCCCTTAGATAAGTACAGCTAGTTTGAACTTCTTAAATATTCACTTAATTTTAACATAATTATTAATTTATTCCACAATCCTCTTCCAATGCAAGACATTTACATAAAAAGATGTTTACATCATGGTCTCTAAAGAACATATTGTTATACATACCAGTTTCACATTTGATCTTCTACAAAGTGGTAACACAAGTTTCATTTGTAATCCATTATGTGTTCCCTAGTCCTAGTAATTTGCCCATAAATTGCTGAGAGTTTTGAAGAAAATCCTACAAAACTAACTACAAAAATAATACTTAAAATAAATATGATACATGCTACCATTGTTCTTACATGGACTTACCTATGACTAATGATATGAAAAATCATCATTGTATTTCAATTATAAGAAATGTAATGACCAACATTCAAAAATCCCATCCACTCCTAAAAATCATTAATAGTTCATTTATAGACCCACCAGGACCATCGAGCTTAACTTCATGATGAAATTTCAGCTCTCTTGGGAATCTGCTTAGCCGTACAAATTTTAACAGGATTATCCCTAGCTACAATTACAGCTACTGCATTCAATTCCGTAACACACAACTGCCATGACGTTAACTATGACACTTGTTCAAATTTGTCATTTTTCTCATTTGATCATTTACCTGTTCCTGAATTTTGATTTCCTGATAATCTCTACACCTGGTTGGAGATGAAGACAAGTCTGAGAGGCAAGTGAATTTGGAAGAATTACAGTTCTCTAAGCTGGGACATGAGGATGGCCGGCAGAAGGTATAATACTGCTCTAAGTCAGCCTTGACTGTAAAAACATGCTTGCATTTGTTACACATGTATTCCCTTTCAAACTCCAGGATCTTCACCAAACTTGTTCGAATCACAGTCCCAGTGACAGATAAAAAGTGACCCACATCCTTGGTTTTAGGGATGTGCTCCCTCACCAGCTCAGGACAAACAGGCAAACCTAGTGAAGGAAAAAAAAAAACAAAACTGCATTAACCTCGGCACTTGACTCCATGAAATATCCTTTTCTCATATTTCCTGAGGAAGAAAGTATAATTTCAGGGGGAAAAAAACCCCAACAACTTTGTGTTTTACTTAAAAAAAAAAATATCAGATGAAATCAATTAAGATAGGAAAAATTACTTCAAATAACAATTCTCAGTGGACTAGTTTTAAAAGTACATACTGGATGATATAATAAACAAGACTAAAAAAAGGATTTGTTCCTTTTTTATACAGTATATAATTATAAGCGTATTCAACAAAGAATATACTTCCACCAACTACACATATAAATCAATTTATGACTCTTTGAGTAAACCACAAAACTGAGTGATAAAGAGATGGTGGCATAATGACCAAAAAGTACCACAGTGCTAAAAGGCTATATTGCTTTTTAAGTTAGGCTCAGGATTCGTTAATATGTAAGTCTAACAGTCCTTCCAACCCTTGAATTACCGAGAGCTTTACCCACAGTATCACTTTATCCTTAAAAACCTATGGTTTTCACTATTAGCAAAAAGGCAACCTGATAGGTAAAAAATGCTAAAGAATTTTTTTACGTGAAAATGCCTTCTTTCTCATGTTTCGCTCTAATATATATTTGGAGTAGAGCAGCTCTGGTTGTGATAGTCAGAGGCTGCGTCCTAACAGGTTTATCAAGGTAGCATTTGTTATACTGGTTCATGTCCCATGGTCCACTGTCGGGCCTCAGAATTTAGTAGCTCTGAAACCTGGTAAGTGTGCACACAGAAGAAGTATCTGTCAGACTTGTCAAGTTCAAGAGAAATAACTAGACATGATTATACTTTAAGCTTGTATAGTCAGCACATTTTCTCCCTGTTGATATATCCACTCTGAAAGCCAAACAATAATAATCAGAATTGAGAAACACGGAATTTTTTTTAAAAAGAAAATTAATTAGATGAATTGAATGACTAAGGCACCAAGTTACATTATTCCAGTGTTACAGGTTATGAGTCCACAAACAGACTTGAATTTTCTGTTGTTTGCTGAGACTCTCCATGTACTGTATACTATACAAACAAGGTGGGCACTGCCAATATTTGTCACTATGACTTCTTTTTCTATGCTTCCAAGGCTGACTTGCCTACTTTATACTGAAAATATTCTTTATTCATATTAACTTAGATTGCATCGCATTTTGCCAATAAGGGAGCCATACCTTGGCTTAGGATAATTTTTGTGTATCTCTGCTTTATTCTGTGTTGACTTTACAATTTAACTCTCAGAAAACAAATATTTCCAAATTCCTGGGGAATGCTTCATTAGGACCCCCAGGGGCTGACAAGTGTTATATCAACTACACAATGAATATATTTTTAAGTATAAGTAACAATTATTTCTTAGTGTTCTACACTCAATATTTGTTATGGTTTCTTAAAAATATTCCTAAAGAATAACATGGCAATAAAATTCTTAAATGATTCACCTGATATCCTGGTATGAAGATTCTGCTTCATGGAGGCACCCTCAGGCTGGGAAAGGGACTCGAGAATTGTCAAGGCTGATCTTCTCAGTGAACTATCAAAAACAGTTAGTACTTCATTGGGGAATGCATTGAAATATTCCCCAATTTCCATGTTGGTCTCAAAAAGGGTCATGGCATTAATCACAACTGGGTAATGAGCATCTTCATCTCTTTCCTTCAGGATTAAAAGAATATCGTTCTTATGGTATTCCGAAACATAAGACTCAAACACTTGACCGACTAGTGCAATCTGATCACTATTCATCTTGAATGTAGGTAACTAAAGAAAAAAGAAAGAACTGTTTTATACCTTTGCTATACACACGTTAACAAAACATAATTGTGTGGCTGTAAATCATCCTGACTTTAGGACACACTATAATCTCAAACTACTACCTGAATTTAAATTTTAATTAGATCTGTTACTTAGTAAGTGTATTATTTTTTAAGTGGTTAAAGAATTATGTTGGTATTGATTATGAAATCCAAAATGGTCCAATGTCTTTCCAGTTCTTTTCCCAAAACTTCCTCCTCATTAACCATGTGTTATGTAAAAAGATCTTTACCTTTTCTTTAACTAATTGCCATACACACATTTGATCTCAAGTATAAAATCTTAAATGCCAGTCTTTTGGCTAAAGTTACTCCTAATAGGGTTTTTTTGTAATCGTCCTGCTTCTCGGTTTTATTCGTATAAAGAACATCTCTCTTTCCCTCTGTCTCTTTAATTAGACACACACACACTGGGCGTGTATATTCTGCTACATAAATGGAACATATACTACAATTCAAACTGATAGCCAGTTATGACTTGAATAGTTATCAGATTAGTTTTAGAAACTTATATTTGGAGATGAATTTACTTCCTATTTTCTCTTCCTGACCCAGGAAAACTACTAACTTTAGTAAAAATATCTGTCAAGAGTGTAAAAGAACTAGATAACTAAACTGAGGAAAGAAAAATTGGTCTTTAAATGCTGACTACAGATTGAAAATAAGTACAGCATATTTTTACTTTATCTATTCCTCTGGAAATATTTTTTTAAAAATTTGTATCTACAGATTAAAAGAGCCTACCCCATTCCATTTTCATATATACATGCAGTTATTTACCATGTACCAGTCATTATGCTTTGAAATGAAAGCACAGTAAAAGGGTCTCTGCCTCCTCAGAGAACTAAAGGACAGATCAATATTATAGCACTCTAACAGTGGTAAAAACGCAATATGAATATGAGCAAAAAGGAGGGGATTAAATGTAAATGGGGTGACAATCCCAAATAAACTGTCCCAAGTGGATCATTGAAGAAATCTTTATTTGGTTTGGAAACAGAGAACTGGAGGGCAAATGTACTTTAATTTGACTGACTTCATTCAACAGTGATTGTACTAGGCTCTATAAAAAGAAAAATGATTTAAGAATCCTGACAACTAAAGGATGCCAGTGTGAGATTAACAGATGAGTATATGTATATCTAAGAGAATAAGTGGAAGTAAATTATAGCCACTACACTGATAAGTAGTTTGTTGTGGTTAGGTAATATAAACTCAGCAAGTTTATATTACCTAGTTCTGCTAAGGCAGAAAAAGGAAGGAACTAATCACACAATATTACCATGATGTGGCCTTTGCTTTAAAAAACAAAAAAAAACAAAACCCAAAAAAACCTGTACTCCCGAGGGCCTACAAGAGAATCTCTAAGATTCTATAAATGCAGATTAAATTTGGAACCACAAATTTAGTAATTTAAAGGACAGCTCCATACAGGGCAGAAAGGGGGCAGCCAAAGAATTCATGGTTCGAATTCAGGTCAGAGTAAATTTCGCCTAATCTTTTTAAACAGAGCACCTTCTTTAAAAATAGCGTTCATTTTTCAATATCTGTGCAAAACTGATCAACTGTTTCTAAGCAGTTTGCTAACGCTATACACGTGCCCGCCCAGATACACACCGGAGGCACTGTTTTACAACTTTAAAGATCCTTTTCTGTTTCTTAATAAATATTTGAGGTTAAAATACAATCACGTTATATTACTTCATCCTCCAAAGTGAAGTACCAACCAGCAAGTGACGACTGCTCGCTGGTTCCCTGGGGAATCACCGCTCGTCCAGTCGCCTCTCCGCACCTGCCGGAGCCACGCCCCCTCGCCTGGGCGCGACGCGTCTTAGGACCCGCCCCATCCATGCCCTCCCCGTCCCCGCTGCCTGCGGTCCGCGGGGCAACTGTAGTCCAACCGGCTCGGAGGGCTGCCTTCCACACTTTTGTCTCTGGATGCAGCCCCTGACCTACAACACGTGGGCAGGTCTCTGACACTCCTCGGTCTCGGCTTCCGGGCAGCTCTGTCACCGGACCAGTCCCCGAGTTGAATAGTTTGTGAACTAACCAAATGCAGGCGACAGTTGGGACGAACTGCGGGAGAAAAAATAAATAACGGTGAAAAAAGGCAGCGGCTGTCACTTACCGTCGAATACAGTGTCAGAAGTCACCGGGGTGCGCTGCCCTCGAGGCGGTGAGGCTCGAAGAACTCGCCTGGTGGCGGGGTCGCGCCGCGGGCCCAGGGACCCGAGGAGGCCGGGGGAGGCGGGGCAAGGTGCGCACGCGGGATCGCTCGAGGCGCCGTCGGCCGCGGGAGCGCGCGGGCTCCGGCGGGCCCGCCTCGCATCAATGCTAAATGGGCGCTACGCGAGCGGCTCGGACCCGCCCGCGCTCCCGACGAACGCCAGGCCGCGCACCGCTCAACTTCTTTGCTCAGGTGGCTCTTCCGGGTGGGGAAGCGGGAGGGCGCGCGTCCCGCCTGGCGCCTCGGGACGCGAGAGGGCGGGACCTGGCGGCTAGGGAGTGGGGAGGAGGGTCCTGGGAGGAGCAGAGAGTCGGGGCGGGGCGAGAGGAGAACCTGGGCGGGGCTGGAACGGAGCAGCCGCCCCAGGTGGAAAGGGAAGAAGGCGGGGCTGTACTTAAGTAGGACTGTCTGGGTTTGTGCTTTTAGTGTAACAACTCTCCCAAACTCAAAGCCAGGAAGATTTTTCTCCTGTGTTTTCTTCTAGAAGTTTTAGAGTGAAGGTTTTATGTTTACACTTATGATTCATTTTGAGCTAATTTTTGTACATGCGGAAATACGGACTTTTTGCATATGGATAGCTGACACCATGTCTTGAAAGCGCTATCCTTTTTCCATTGAAAAGCCTTTGCACTTAGGTGAAAAATAAGATGTCCTTATATGTATGGGTTTAAGGCTTTCCTATTCTGTTTGTCTACAAAAATACCGCGCTGTCTTTGATTACTGTAGCTTTATAATGAGTCTTGAAATCAGATATTGTTCGGCATCCAATTTTGTTCTTTTTCAAAGTTGTTTGGGCTTTTGTGTCCCCGTGTGAATTTTAAAACCAGTTTGTCATTTTCTGTTAAAAAGCTGGGGTTTTGGGGGGTTGTATAGCATGTATAGGTCGGTATAGAAAGAATTTACATGTTAATATTGAGTCATATGTCCTTTGAACAAAATAAACCTCACCATTTATTTAGGTATTAAATATCTCTCATCAATATCTGACCTTTTATTAAATCTATCTCTGACTCAGACTTGTCCATAAAATCATGCAGGAGCGGGAAATCATACTTGTTGATGCTATATAAGTGATATTTTCGATTTTAATTTTCGATTGCTTCATGTGTAAAAATACAATTGATTTAAACAACTTTTTAATTAACAAATAATAAAGCTTAATTTTTAGAGTAGTTTCAGGTTCACAGCAAAATTGAGCAGAAGAGTGGAGAGTTCTCATGTACCCCGTTCCCACCCATCCACAACCTACCCCGCTACCAGAGTAGTGCAATTTTTATAATTGATGAATGTACACTGACATGATTATCACCCAAAATTCATCATTTATAGTAGGTTCACTGTTGGTATTGTACATTCTGTGGGTTTTGACAGATGTAAAATAATATGTATATACTATTGTAGTATACAGAATAGTTTCACTGTCCTAAACATCTTCTGTGTTGTTTCTGTTCACCCCTATCTCCCTCCCACCTAACTCCTAGCAACAACTGATGTGTTTAGTGTCTTCATAATTTTGCCTTTTCCTGGGTGTCATATACAGAGTCTGGCACAAATAACACCCCTGTTTTATTACAAAATCTTTTACTACAAAATCATAAGCATATAATTCTGTAACATAACAATATCACACTCAAGCATTCAAATTAAAACTATAAATTATTACACCCATATTATTATCCTACCAATCACACTGAAGCAGGCGCTACTTCTGCCAGACCCTGCAGTTGAAGTCATACAGTAGTGAAGTAGCTTCTCAGATTGGCTTCTTTCACTTAGTAATATAGTACATCTAAGGCTCCCCAGTGTCTTTTCATGACTTGATAGCTCATTTCTTTTTGGTGATAATATCCCATTATCGGGATGCACCACATTTTATGTATTTACCTATGGAAGGACATCTTGGCTGCTTCCAAGTGTTGCCAATTATGGAGAAAGCTGTTATATACATGTGTGCAGGTTTTGGTGCAACATAAGCTTTAAGCACCCTTGGTAAATACCAAGGAGCATGACAGCTGGATCATATGGAAGAGTATGTTTAGTTTTATAAGAAACTGCCAAATTGTTTTCTTAAAATGGCTGTACCATTTTGCCTTCCCACCATCAATGAATGAGAGTTTCTGTTGCTCCACATCCTCTCCAGCATTTGGCGGTGTCAGTATTTTGGCTTTTGGCCATTCTAATAGGTGTATAATGGCATCTCATTGTCATTTTATTTTGCATTTTTCTGATGACATATGAGGTGGAACATCTTTTCATGTGCTTTTTATTTGTATATTTTCTTTGATGAGGTGTCACTTCAGGTCTTTTGCCCATTTTTAAATCAGGTTGCTTGTTTTCTTATTTTCAAGTTTTAAGAGTACTTCGTCAGATGTGTCTTGCAAATATTACCTGTGTTTGATAGTCTGTGGCTTATCTTCCCATTCTCAACATTATTTTTCACAAAGCAGATTTTTAATTTTAATCAAGTCCAGCTTATCAATTGTTTCTTTCATGGACTGTACTTTTGGTGTTGTACTTTAAAAAGTCATCACCAAATGCAAAGGCATCTAGATTTTTTTCATATGTTCTAGGACTTAGGCAGTTTTGTGTTTAACATTTAAATCCATGATGCTCTTTGAGTTAACTTTTTGTGAACAGTGTGAGATGTGTCTAGATTGTGTGTGTGCATGTGAATGTCCAGTTGTTCTAGTACCATTTGTTGAAAAGACTAACTTTTGTTCTATTTGTCAAAGATCTGTATTGCCTTTGCTCTTTGGTTAAAGATCAGTTGGCTATATTTAGGTGGGTTTAACTGTGGGCCTTCTATTATTTTCCATTGATCTATTTGCCTATTCTTTCACACTGTCCAATACCAATTCTATAGCTTTAGAGTGAGTATTAAAATTAGGTAGTGTTAGTCCTCCTCCTTTGTTCTCCTTCAATATTGAGTTGGCTATTCTGGGTCTTTTGCCTCTCTGTATAAACTTTAGAATCACTTTGTCAACATCCACAAAATAACTTGCTGGGATTTTGATGGGAATGGGATGAATCTGTAGATCAAGTTGTAAGAACTGACTTTCGACAGTATTGAGTCTTTCTGTTCATGAACAAGGAATAGCTATTATTCCATTTATTTTTTTTTAAATCCTCACTCGAAGGTATGTTTATTGATTCGAGAGAGAGAGAGGGAGAGAGAAAGAGAAAGAGAAATTGACGTCCTCCCGTACACACCCCACCTAGGGATTGAACCCGCAACTCAGGTATGCACCCTAACCTGGGATCAACACACACCTTTTTGGTGCATGGAACAGTGCTCCAAGCAACTAAGCCACATGGCCAGGGCTATTCCTAAGTATTTTATTATTTTTTTGCAGTTGTAAATGGGACTTTTCCCTTCATTTCTCTAATATTTTGTTAGTATAGTATATAGGAATGCAACAGGTTTTTGTATATTAATTTTGTATCCTGCAACTTTATTTTTTTTGTTTGTAGTTTTTTGTGGAGTCTTTAGGGTACCCTTTAGACAGAATCATGTCATCTGCAAATAGTGACAATTTTACTTTTTTCATTCCTAGTTTGGGAATGCATTAGGAAGTATTCTCTCTGGTTTAATTTTTTGGAAGAGATTGAGAAGGATGCAATTTACTAAGTAATGAGAGTCATAAAGGTATCTTTTGTTGTATTAATGAGGTGATTTTTGGACCCCACCTAAGAATGGGGACTGGTTGCCAGGGGAACCAAACATGGGATTGGAAGATTGGAACCCTTTTGACCTCTGGGGAAAAGAAAGGGGCTGGAGATTGAGTTGAATCACCAATGGCCAATTAATAAATCATGCCTATGTATTGTAATAAAGCCTACATAAGACACTCAAGAAGGAGTGGATTTGGGGAACCAGACACTTTCACGTGCCACTGTGCTGTGCCCTAAAATCCACGAGGATAAATGCTCCATTTGGAGGGATCTCACCATATCTATGTTTTCATCTGGCTGTTTGTATCCTTTAATACCCTTTGTAATAAACCTGTAGTCTAGTGAGTAAATGAGTTTCCTTAGTTCTGGGAGCTGCTTTAGCAAATTAACTGAACCCAAGGAGGGGGTCATGGGAGCTGATTTATAGTCAGTCATCAAAAGCACAGGTAACAATCTGAACTTGTGATTGGCATTTGAAGTACAGTGGTCTTGTAGGACTGACCCCTTAACGGCTGGGATTTGATGCCATCTCTAGGTGTCAGAATTGAGTGGAATTGTAGAATACTCAGCTGGTGTCCTAGAACTGCTTGGATGTATAGGGAAACATCCCTATCCCCGTCCCGACACATTGGAAATTTGTGATCAGACTCTTCAGTAAGGCAATTTATAGTATCTGCCACCGTGGTTTTACTTTTGAAATCTTAGCATACAAATAACATGTTGAAAAATGATAAAAAGAATTTTTATCATCCTCCCTTTTCAGCCAACATGTGCTGATGTGACTTTCCTTCCTCTGCTGTACAGAACCATGGTTAGAGCTTTGTTAGGTAAGCGCCCCCACCCACTCCTGTAGACCCGCAGCCAGCCTCCTGCAGACGGCCGAAGGGCCCCGTCCTGCGTCATGTTTCAGTATGCGCAGCCACTGAGCTCAGCCACTGCATGGCAGTCCTTTTACGTCTTTCTAGTATATGTTCTACTTTCCAAGTAGAAAATATTGAAAAAACTAATCAATATTTACTCACCTACAGTAATTTATACCTTCCCCAAACTATCTCATCTTATTTTTGTAGGGAGGTTGGGTAGTAGCTGTCGGTTTACTCAGACGGCCTGTGAGACCGAGTCACAGAGCTTTCGATATTTGGTGACTGAGCTAATGCTCAGGAGCCTCAGAGGAAGTGAGCTTCCTAGCACTGGAATTTGAACAAAGACATTCAAACATTCTGTGGGAAACTAGAAGAGACAGCTTTTAAAGCCTCTTCCAATGTCAAGGTTCCAGGATTCCACATTGCTTTTTATAGTCTATCAAAATGAATGTCTTACAGAAACTTTTTCTTCAATCCCAA